TAGGTTTTTGCAGGTGCTTAGTTCGTTTGCAGGTGTTGGGTTCGATTTTTCAATTTCGAATGTTAGGTTTTTGCAGGTGCTTAGTTCGTTTGCAGGTGCTGGGTTCGAAATCGAACCCAGCAAGCGGTGGGTTTGAGCAGCCGCTGAGTTCCTGCAAGTGAGGTTCTGGGTTTCGTTTCGAACCCAACAGCCGCTAGGTCAAATATCTATTGAGTTTAATCTGTTGATTTGTTGTGTTATCTTTGAATTTAATATTAGGAGTTAGGGTTTGCAGAAGGTTAAAAGAAAGGGAGAGGAAGAAGAAAGGGAAAAAGGGAAAACAAACAAAGAAAAAAAAAAAGGAATAACAAATATTTTTAAGATTTTTTTCTTGCCATTTCATTTTTTTGTTGCACTGTACATCTTAGGTGTCAAAATGTTTTTACATGTCATCATTTTCCCGTCAAGTAACGGGACACGTAGGTTAATATTTGACGGAAGGACCAAATCGGGGTAAAAATGGTAAACAGTAGGGACCAAATCAGGGATTTTTTTAGTTCAGGAATTTTTTTAGTTTAGGGACCAAATCGGGGGTTCGTACAATAGTTTAGGGACTAAAAAGGAGTTTTAACCTTTGTTTTAATATTGTATTAACTGTATTAAAAACGTGATATTTTATGCGAAAGAAATTTAATTTCCTTAAATAAAATTTTGTATTTGAATCTTATAAATGAAAAAATAAATGTTGAGAGAGTTTTTTTTAATAGAGTGAGTTTTCCTTTAATGAGATTTGATATGATTTAATTTTGAATTAATCAGATCTAACGTAATTATTAAATATCAAATCAAAAATTTAATATAAAAAATTATCATATTAACTATATAATAAATATATATTTTAAATTAATTTATATAAAAATTTATAAAAATTAATATATATTTTTAATATTAGTGATATTTTGACGATTCTAATAATTTTAATTAATTAAATCAAAATTAAAATTTATATTTTTAATAAAAATTAATTATAAAAAATATATTTATTTCATTTTTAATTTTTACATAAAATACATTATAGAAAAACTCTTATCACTACTAAGCTTGAATTTAATTACTTTATTAAGCTTTAAAGGAATAAATGAGTGGAGTTAATTCTTTATTTTTTTGAACTTAAAAAATTTTTGAGGAGGGGGAGATTAGTAGTGCTTGGTATAGAATCTAGACTTCATTTCTGAGCACCCACCTGTTGAGGATGGCCACTAGGCCCTGGACGAGTGGAGTTAATTCAAACCTTCGATTCCATAATTGAATACTATTATTAAACTCAAAGATTGAAGCTTGATTGAAAATCCGTGACTTGTGAAAGACAAGACGTGACAGAAAAGAGGGGTTTCAGAAACAGCCTGGCACTGGAGGAAGTGCCGAAGTGGTGGTGGCTCCCTTCCGGCATCTCCAGTCAGGAACCAAAAATAGGCAGAGCTCAGACAGGCTACTCACGAGCGGAAACAGAACACCCGCAGCATGCATCACATTTCGTGTGGGGTCACCAATACTAGATTCGCGGCCTATTCCATTCTCCCAATCAACAGTTGCATTGTATCCTTACAAGTTCACAATAGTTTTTTTCTTCTTATGGTAAATGATTTCTCTCTTGCGGTCTGTTTGATGTAGTTTTTTTGAAATTTTTTTTTTTATTATTTATAATTTTGTTTGAAAAAATTAAAACATTTTCAAATTTTACCAAACAAGCCCTTGATTTTGTGTGGTGGAGACTATGAGCATGGCCATCAATCAAGGAAAGGG